ATTTTTTCTTAATTTTGTCTTCTATCTATTGAGAGATAACTGAACTTCCAAATATTTTTTCTCCATCTATTGAGAGATAATTAAACTTCCAAGTATTTTTTCTCCATCTATTGAGAGATAATTAAACTTCCAAGTATTTTTTCTTAATTTTTCTCCATCTATTGAGACAGGGGTCACCAAACTATGCCCGTGGGCCAGGTCCGGCCTGCGAGGTCAGTTCATCCAGCCCACCACTGCACTGTGATACAAATGAGCTAAGATATAATTATTTATGTGGAAATATCATAGATTATAGATAAACTTACTATGTAGAAAAAAATCTGATTTTTGCATCTGACAGTAATATAAGTTTTAGGAAAATCAGTGAACTAAAAAATTCGGCGACTTTTTGCGACTTTGGATATCGGAGCGCTTTTTGTGTAAGTACCTGCAGTGAGAGTTCATTCCTGCAGTCACCTCTGCGTGCATTGTATGTGCATCACAGAAGCGTTGGCATCCGTTTGCAGCATGCACGGAACAACAACTGGAGAAGACATTTTCATGGAAGTGCAGAAACTTTGCAAGGCTATAACCTTCAGTGGAATCAGCTTCGATGTGTTACAGTTGATGGAGGAGAAAACATGGCTGGAGTGAGGAAGGGTCTGGTGGGGCAGATACGAACTAAGTTGGAAGATCTTCAATTCCCAGGCGCTCTGTTTATACACTGCATTATACATCAGCAAGCACTCTGTTGGAAAAACTTAGATATTTCTTGCATACTGAAACCAGTCGTTTCTGCGGTGAACTTCATTCGGGGTCATGCACTTAATCACCGCCAGTTCCAGGCTTTTCTTGAAGAAATTGATTCTGAATTCTGTGACTTGCCTTATCACACAGCAGTGAGGTGGCTCAGCTGCGGTAAAGTCCTGTTTCGTTTTTATAAGCTCCGAAGAAAAATATATATTTTTCTCACCGAAAAGGATAGAGCTGATCCACTTCTGTCAGATCCTACCTGGCTGTCAAAGATCTCGACAGAATTGAGAGTGACACTCTTCTGTTCCAGAATCCGTTTGATTGTAACCTTGATGACGTGCCAGTCGAACTAT